AACGCGCCGCCGCCGCTGCTGCGATGGGTAGTCAAGAGGTAGGGAGGGAAGTCGAGGGAGATCCCGAGGGACCGCGTACCCAAGGTAGCTCTGACGCGGACTCAGACTCCCGAGGGATCTGAGCATCCGCCGGCGACGGCGCCGTCGAGCCCCCTCCGGCGCCGTCAGCGAGGCACCTGCCTCCTGAAGGACTCGGGAATATTGCGGAGGACCTTTGGTACCTGTCACGCCGATTCTGTGCGCGTTTGTCAGCCTGGCTTCAAAGTAATGTAATTTTCGAGGTTTCGAGGGAAATAAAGAGAGAATATCGTGATCATCAACCATGCCACAATATCCTGCACTAATAATAAAAATAATTCCATTTTTCCTTGTAATAATTTCCTTGTATTAATTTTCAAACGTCGAATATAATGATCTTTGAATATAGATTATTTTCAGATTATTCGCGAGCGAATCTCGATTGTTTACTGAGAAAGTGTAGTTCGAAGCGAACAGACTCTCTGCAGGAGGATCAAAAGAGAATCTCTTAAATCGACGTTGCCGTTGTGCGACGTGTATCGCCACAAAAGCGATGCTAAGTTTGCGGACTTGTCAACGGGTGGTCGCTTCTCAAAGGAATACCGCCGCGTCGCGTCGTCGCGGGAATGCGTCCTCGAGTATGTCTTTCGTAACGTGCATTCTCTCCTTCCTTAGAGGTACGCAGCCTTCCGCATACCGCTTACTATTAAGAAGCACGCACACGCGGACAATCGTTTTGAAGTTCACCAACTTCATCTCTCGTTTTCTAATTCTGTACGGACAATCTAACCTTGTCGCGATTATTGAAATTTGTATGTGCAACATTACTCGTTCTTCCAAATCTTCACGTATTTTTAACTTTCCGCCAGAAACTAGGGTCTTTAAAAGGCATCATCGATATTTTGATCAACCTTATAAAAAAGGAATTTTTATAAGGTCGAATTTAAATTTAATTTTAAACTAGAAAATGTTTTATTATTGTAAAAATGATCGAAATCGGATTATTTCAGCATAAATAGACGTATTTGTGTGACATCTATTTATCCCTAATTAGTCCAATTTTCACCACTTAACATTCTTGTGCCATCATATCTTTTTTTGCTTAATACGCTTTAGTTCATTTTCTTTGAAAATGTTTTTTAAATGTCTTTTGCAACATCTTGCTTTTCGAATAATTATTATTATATTTCTATTGACAAATGCATTAGGTTTCACTTGCGCTGATAACACTACCGGGTTTCTTGAAGCATTTCAAAGCGAACGCAGCATATGTATTGACGAATTGGTTTCAAAACAATATTGAGCATGAGTCTGATATCACTACGAGCACCTCGCGACCTTACGCGCGTGTTTTGTTTATTTCTAGTAATTAGATACTATCCAGGGATCAGCGTGTTCGGATTCCCTGGGTGTTCCCCGGGTGTCATCCTTGTTTAACGTTCGATAAACAACAAGAATAGAGTGATATCTGGGTGACACTCAGGTGGGAATCT